ACGGCGAGGCGAGGCGACCCTCGGACTCCCCTCGCGTGGTGGGCGGGGTGGCAGCAGAACCTGAACTGTCCGGGGCGTTCCCGGCTCAGTTCTCGTTTCTTCTCGCGGTTCCCGGGGTGACGGGCGACACCCACGTGCCGGTTGTTGACATCGCGCCCTTAGTCTGGTCTGTACCTGCCCTTCGCTTAACGGTACGTCTAGGACTTACTGTCATCTCAGAACCGGCGTTCCCTGATTTGTATAACTCTCTCTCATTGAAGTAGTTTCTAATCTTTAGTTACTACAGACAATGCTGCAGTGAATTACCTAGTTTGTAGCTCACCTTTAAAAAATGTATATATTTTATTGGTCTCAGAGAGGAAGGGAGAGGGAGAGAGAGAAACATCCACCCACAGCCTCCTGCAGGATTGGCCCGCAGCTCCCCACCCCCGCATGTGCTCCGACCTGTGTAATCAACCTGACCTCCCGGTCAGCGTTCAACCACTGAACCCCTTGAACCCCTCGGCCAGGCTGTAGCTCACCTTTTGGGTAAATTCGTGCCACTCCTGGGTCTAAAGCTGAGCGCATTTTTATCGTCCCCTTCGAGGTCGTGCAGGTAGCGCCCCACCTGCGTGTGCAGAGCCCCCCACAGTCACTGTGGACTCTGGATCCTTGTGTGGGAACTGAACTACCGGGAAAGCCCTTAAGGCCCATGGTTGTTAGGAAACCAATTTAACTGCCGGTAGTGGACGAGTCTTAAGTAAATGGGGATACAGTCACGGGGTGCCACCTGACACAGCTCCTACCGCCGCCGCCGTGAGGAGTGAGATGGGGTGATACCGAGGAGTCTTATTCACCCCAGAAACCTGTAAACCCTGGGTCTGTGAGGCACAGAGGCGCTGGGCAGACCTTGCTCCCTGCAGCTCGTGCGGTGCCAGGCTCTGCAGGCCGTTGTGAGGGTTGTAGCTGAAGAGTGACCTGAACTACCAGGGGCCGCTTAAGGACCCGGACTGTCACTAAAGGACTCGCTACCCCTGTCCCAGAGCAGGAGGCACGGGCTGAGAGGAGCAGTGCGTTCGCACCGGCTTTCTGCTGTGGAATTTCTTGCCCTTTGAGGTGTTTTTTTTTTTTTAAATATATTTTGTTGGTTTTTTACAGAGAGGAAGGGAGAAGGATAGAGAGTTAGAAACATCGATCAGCTGCCTCCTGCACACTCCCTGCCAGGGATGTGCCCGCAACCCAGGTACGTGCCCTTGACCGGAATCGAACCTGGGACCCTTCAGTCTGCAG